GATCCCAAAACGGGAGGATGACACACGGGGTAGGAACATATATCCGAAGTTTCAGCCCCCAGCTTTGCTGGTTGTCGAGTTGAAAGTGGGTGACAAAATGCTTTATAGGAACTTTGTTTTGCGCAAATCTTGCTTCCCCCTTCCTCTGTCGTGCATTTTGTGATTGACTTAGGTCTGCTTCACGGCTGCTTCTTCGACTCTGCGGGTTGTATCACTTTGTGGGCAGTGTGCTGGCGGTGCTAATGTTTCCTTTTGCATTTTGCAGACTGACCACAAATTAAGATACATCGCGACCCTAATTGTTAATATTTTATTTAGACTAGTGAGTACCCCGTGGGTAGGTGCGTGTGTGTGTGTATATATGTGTATGTAACATGCCGTGTCCTATATACACGTTTATTATACATAGTAGAGTGAAAGGGTAAGATACAAAAGTAGGTAAGGCTCTGGGAAGCCGAAGCTCCCCAGAATAGAAATATTGGTATATAGCAGTAAGTCGCAGTGGTGGTCGGTCATGGTGGTCGATAAAGGTGGTCGGCAAAAGGGGAGGAGTGCTTTTATACCCCAGGGGGCAGAGATCGAAAGTTTAGTGAGGGTAGAGCGATTAAAGTTTGAACCTGGGACAAGGGTACTGCGTCATAGTAACGCAGTTGGTCTTTAATCTATTTTTAACAAAAAAACCCATTAATCACTATTATTACCTTATTACGCTGTAGATAGCAGTTCTGCGTTCTTCCACCAGCAGCATTTCTCCAGATTTCAGTCATTTCGAGCTGTACTGAGCATCGCCAGCTTCCCTCATCCCAATCTGCGAGGAGGTAGCCGACTGGAAGTATCATCATAAATTTCTGGGGAGAAATTTCAGGCACATTAGTGAATGTTAAAAGCAGTCGTAAGTCATCGATGACGTCGCAGCAAGATTTTGTGCAGGTCGATACGACAGATATTCTGTTTGTTGCATCAGGCGCATTCACCGCATTGGATCGAATTGTCGGCAAACGTCTCGATAAAAAAATGCTCGGTTTGGGTAGGCTTTCATTTATTTCTCCATTTTCCTCTTATTTCTAGCTTAGTAGCATTTTTTTTTTGTTGGAGGTGAAGGAGGGCGGCACTCGATTGAATACATACTTCACGGAAGATATATCATTTTTTTGCTTTTTGCCGAGAACGCTAGAGATAATAAACAAACATGAAACATGATAATGTCAGCATTGAGATAATAGGGAAACTTGACATGAAAAATCACAGCCTAATGTTAAGGGAAGAAATTTTGCTCTGGCCACAACATGCTTCTACATTATTGCCAATTTCTGCCGGGGTTGACCAAAAATTAGCACTTTTGTTTTGCGTGTGTTTTTTTGTTTTTTCGCAGAACGGGCAGCCATGATGTAGTTAGTAGTGATGCCTGAGGCTGTTACGGTGCCGAAT